TATTGGCAAATAACTGTCTCTCTGTTTTCTAGACTCAGTTTATCAATGACATATCTGTTTTTACTAGAGGTAAAAGTCACAGATATCCATCTCTCAGCACGGTCCTTACATATGCTATCATTGATTTGAGTAGTTGAGAAAAAAACAGCAGGGTGGTGGTCAATGCGGTAGAACAAGTGACTAAATCAATTCCCGTTCCTTCTCCCAAATGAAAAAGCTAGCTTTCAAAGAATCCCTGAGGATGATGTTGTATCCTTCACTCACTTTCAGATATACCTCAATAGTCAATGTACACTTCTGCTCATATGGAGTTGATCGACCTTACTTTCTTCCAGGGTGAAGCACTCTTTTAGCTTAAAAAGCAAGCTTTTTATTAAATGCATTGCCATATTCAGAGCAACACAAGCACTCCTTATTACTGACTTATCTTATTTTCATCTCTTTATCTGAGGCTGCTGTGGGTAAAACATTTAAAATCAAGTTGGTTTCTAATTTCCTGTTTTTATTAATCATCACACCAATTATGTCTATCCCGGAAGTAATTACCAACAGTAATTAAAAAAACACATTAAAAACAATCCTTAAGAAGAATGTTTGTTTGTGTGTGTGTGTGTGTGTGTGTGTGTGTGTGTGTGTGTGTGGGGCGTCTTGGTAGGATAGTAATAGTAATACCCAGGGCCGTTTCTAGCCATTTTGACGCCTTAGGCGAAATCCCTATTGGATCCCTAATCCCTATATGTATGTGTGTGTGTGTGTGTGTGACCCTGGACCACAAAACCAGTCTTAAGTTGCACGGGTATGTTTGTAGCAATAGCCAAAAATACATTGTATGAGTCAAAATTATAGATTTTTCTTTTATGCCAAAAATCAAGAGACAATTTTTATATTACATTATTTTATTTTTATATTAATTTAAACAATTATTATCAAACAATTATATTCATTTAGTAACATAAATTTATCTTAGTGTAGGATATCTTTAGAGTTTTATATTTTATAGAGTTTTATTAATTCATTATCTTCTTGTTGATCCACCAGTTCACATTTACAACTGCATGTTTTCTGCGTAAAAATACGGGTCGTTTTTGGATTTGGTCTAAAACAAAGAGCAGAAGGGCTTATTGAAAAATGCAAATTAATTCTTTGCCAGCAGGTGGCACTTTTCGCCAGGAATATAGCCATTTCCCCGGTAACCGCAGTAAACAAAGCAGCGCAGCACCTGACTTTGAAACTTGCAGCGCTCATATTTAATCAATTAAATAGCCTTTTGAAGTGTAAGCTATATCTCGTTATACATGATGTAAATATACATTTAAATGTATATTTAGTTTTTTCACTGGAGCACCACCTGAGTCTTCTTCTCCCATTTCTACCAGGGATCATTGTTTCCTTCCCGCGGTACTACCTGCGCACACATCAATAGCATCACCGGGCTGTAGGTTGCCAAGTTGAGGGGACAAATGGGTTGAAATTTGTATGCGTCGATCATGTGAGAAAGATGTGTTTCATACAAGATCTGGCAACTGGACAACCTTGGAATTTGTCGTGATTACTCATATAATGAGGTTTGGCCCATACAAATTACGGTAGTTCTACCGGAAGCGAATGTAGCAAACATATAAAATACGCTCAGTGGGATTTTTTTTTTTTATAGAAAGATTAAAAATACGGGAAAATATTTAAGCGGGATAGAATGGTAAAATACAGGAGATTCCCGGGAAAAACGGTAGGGTTGAAAGGTATGCCCTAGTGGCTAAGAAAGTGTCATCACACATAAATTAATTTTATTAAATTTGGATTTGGATACATGTTTAGATATTATCAATGGCTACTTTTTGCCTTTATCTGTTTTTTGTTAAATTGTTTTGTTGTTGTTGTTTGAAACGTTGATTTAAAGTCAGTTGTTGCATTATTATTTCAGTCAAACCTATAAAACCCTTTGTTACACTAAACTACATATAAAAGCCTGATCAGTGGCATAAAACTTATCAGAATGCAGCTATTTGTTCCTTTGTTACTCACCTCCTCGTTTGGTTCCTATTTATTCTCCTTTGTCTGTCATCCTGTGCTGATGTGTGTGTGTGTGTGTGTGTGGGGCGTCTTGGTAGGATAGTAATAGTAATACCCAGGGCCGTTTCTAGCCATTTTGACGCCTTAGGCGAAATCCCTATTGGATCCCTAATCCCTATATGTATGTGTGTGTGTGTGTGTGTGACCCTGGACCACAAAACCAGTCTTAAGTTGCACGGGTATGTGGATCATTGTTTCCTTCCCGCGGTACTACCTGCGCACACATCAATAGCATCACCGGGCTGTAGGTTGCCAAGTTGAGGGGACAAATGGGTTGAAATTTGTATGCGTCGATCATGTGAGAAAGATGTGTTTCATACAAGATCTGGCAACTGGACAACCTTGGAATTTGTCGTGATTACTCATATAATGAGGTTTGGCCCATACAAATTACGGTAGTTCTACCGGAAGCGAATGTAGCAAACATATAAAATACGCTCAGTGGGATTTTTTTTTTTTATAGAAAGATTAAAAATACGGGAAAATATTTAAGCGGGATAGAATGGTAAAATACAGGAGATTCCCGGGAAAAACGGTAGGGTTGAAAGGTATGCCCTAGTGGCTAAGAAAGTGTCATCACACATAAATTAATTTTATTAAATTTGGATTTGGATACATGTTTAGATATTATCAATGGCTACTTTTTGCCTTTATCTGTTTTTTGTTAAATTGTTTTGTTGTTGTTGTTTGAAACGTTGATTTAAAGTCAGTTGTTGCATTATTATTTCAGTCAAACCTATAAAACCCTTTGTTACACTAAACTACATATAAAAGCCTGATCAGTGGCATAAAACTTATCAGAATGCAGCTATTTGTTCCTTTGTTACTCACCTCCTCGTTTGGTTCCTATTTATTCTCCTTTGTCTGTCATCCTGTGCTGATCCGTCATTTCTCATTGTGTGTGTTTCGTGTCTGCATGTGTGCAGCTTTAGGCCTGCCTGTCTGTTTTTCCCCTTCGGGGTGGTTTGAGTTTGTTTTTGTTTCATTTTTTACTAAAATAAAATACCATTTCTCCAGCGATTGAGTCCTCTCTTCATCTCCCCGCACGCACCGTGACAGAACAGATCAGCCAACATGGGGACTCAGCAGAGAATGGGCTCACCCCGACTACCGGTCTCTTCTCTCTCCAGCCCCCTCTACCAGCGCATGCTCCAGCTGGAAACCCTGAGCTCCCTCCGGCAACGAGGGACCGAGCTGAGGGAGTTTGCCGTGGAGTTTAAGAAGGCTGCAGAGGGGCTGGGCTACAATGACACTGCGCTAAAGGACTTATTAAATTATGCCCTTGATGAGCCCATTAGCCCCTGGAGCATG